TTTTTTTGGCCAATTTGTTGGGCAAAAAATGCAAAACGCGAATTGCATTAAAAATGCACTACATGCTTTTCTGCAGCATCTCCATTGAAGTCTAGTGAACCAAAAATGCACTTTTTTGCATTTAAAAAGATGCCTGACCTTTTCCAAAAAAGCAGTGGCTGAAAAGCACATAAATGTGAATATGTCCCATAGGAAACCATGTTAAATGGACTGTAGTGCGTTTCTGCGTCAAAAAACGCATTGGTGTAAAACAGTGTGCACACACTCCTCAAATGGAAAATATTCCTCCCAATTGTAGCCAAACCCCTTGGTTTGACAAGCAAGTGCTGTTACTTTAGTGTCTGTAACCTGGGCGTTTATACTGAAAATAGGCTGAACAAACAGTACACTTTACACAGATACTTGCATGACGTGATTGTTGTCTGAACCTGTTAAACATACATTTCAAGTGTATGGGTAACTGCAGGCAGCTGAACTAAAGCTAAACAGATTGGCTGTTACATCTGTGGAGATAGCAATTTCTAGGGGACAGTGACACTAATCTGACAACCTGCCCCGATAATCAAAGCACAGGTTCAATTTAAGGGATTATTGTATGGGCTACATTAAAGCAAACCCTGCATAACAAACCTCATCCCTCAAATAAAAGTACTTAGACTGATTGTAAAGATTTTTTTTTTAAATAACAAACATGTCATACTTAGGTGCTGTGTGAAATGATTTTGAAAACAGCAGCCCTGATCCTCCTCTTCTGGGGTCCCCTACTGGCACTCCTGGCTCCTCCTGTCTTCTGAGTACCCCCCACCCCACTGAAAGCCGCTTGCTGGAGGCGTATTCATGTGTGTTCAAACTCCAGCTGCATTGTGTGCGTCTATTGACACACACAGTGCAGCCTGGGCACACGCTCTGCTCTCTCATCACTGTATTTTATTGACCGCAGCAGGAGCCACTGAGGAGGGAGAGAGGGAGCAGCACCGCACAGCTTTGGATTGAGATTGGTTCAGGTAAGTATTTGGGAGGGCAGGAGGGAAGTTGCACCTAAAAGTTTTTTTTACCTCCAGTCTCCAGTGATAAAAATAAAAGACAGCAGCTACTAAAAATGTAGCTGCTGACTTTTAAAAAACAAGTACTCACCTGTCCCTCGATCACCGTAGCTGGGGTTCACCAGCCATCCTCTGTCTCCCGGCTTCAGCATCCTAAGTGTGGGCACCTGGTTGTGACACCTTGTGGCTTCACAGCCGGGTGCCCACTGCACATGTGCATTGTGAATGGTCCTGCAATCTTCTGGGACCTGTCACATGTCCCAGAAGACTGTGGGGGGGGGGGGGGGGAACTTCCACTTTCGATCGCCTAGGCCACAGGTGACAAACACAAGGCCCGCAGGCTGAATCTGGCCCTCCAGGCCATTTCATGTGGCTCTTGCACTTCTCTTGCAGGTACCTCTTTGTCTCCCCCCCATTTTGTCTCAGCAGTTGGCAGCAGAGAGGAGAATAGAGCTCCTCTACCAAATCCTGCACCTCTCAGTGCAACGGCAGCACCCCCTCATCTCTGCCTCCCCTAGCTTCAGCATTCAGCAAACTCTGGTAACTGACTCCACTCCTCCTCTGGTCCTCCTACAGACCCTGCACTTTCTGCTTGTCAGCTCTGCCCCCAAAGGGGGTGCATGGTGATGCTAGGGAGCATTTGGGATTCTTGACATCTGATGTAATGGGGGGTGGGGTGCTCTGGACATCTAGTCTTACAGATGCAACCATAATGCTGATACGGCCTGCGATGAAATGGAGTTTGACACCCCTGGCCTAGGCGGTCGGAGGAAAAGTCGGAGCAGGTACCTGTCAAATTGGGTACCTGCTCCCTCCCCACTACTTAAAGGTGCCAATCCATAACGGGGAGTGGGGGATGAGTCCTTAATGCTGAACATCCCGTCTTGGGTGGAGCTCCGCTTTAAGGTAAAAAAAAAAAAAACAGGAAAACTTTAGCCTTTACAATCCCTTTAATAAACGCTGCCAAAAGAAAGCATTTTTAGATAAAAAAAGGTGCTCCTGCACATTCAAGGACCGAGCTGGTCCAGAGGTACAGTGGCAAGGGACATCGTGGTGTCTCCAGAGAGCAAAAGGAAACCTAGGTCCAAGTTAAGTATTTTAAATTTATTTCTAACGGTGCTTTATTTTGAGCATTTATTAAGAATTTTTTTATTCGGACATTAGGGGAATTGTTTTTCATGCAAGGTACGCTTTAAGTAGTGTCAGTGGCATGGCATGAAGTTTGTTAGAGCCAGGTTTAGGATTAGGGATAGGTCAGAAGTCTGGGACATTTTTGGGCACTGCTTAATGCAGGGCTTGAAAAATCCGCTTGCCCACTCGCCAAATGCGAGGAGAAATTCCTCTGTGGCGAGCGGAGAGCGGCTGCAAGCGGTGAGCACAGATGAAGAAGCAAGGAGCGACTGCACATGCGCTCCAAGCCTCATTGCGAAGCCAAGTTCCGGTTTACAACTTCCGGTTTCTGCGGCATCGCAATTACAGTGGCAGCACCACTGAGGGGACACGTGCAGGAGAGGTCCGCTCTCTTACGATGAGAGGAGACACCCTCTCCACCGCCGCGGGGGACCCGAAGCCCTTCCTCCACCGCCATGGGAGACACGAGGCCCACTCTCAACCGCCTTGGGGGACACGAGGCCCGCTCTCCACCTTCTTGGGGGAAACGAGGCCCGCTCTCCACCATTTTGAGGGACACGAGGCCCGCTCTCCACCGCCTTGGGGGACACGAGGCCCGCTCTCCACCGCCTTGGGGGACACGAGGCCCGCTCTCCACCGCCTTGGGGGACACGAGGCCCGCTCTCCACCGCCTTGGGGGACACGAGGCCCGCTCTCCACCGCCTTGGGGGACACGAGGCCCGCTCTCCACCGCCTTGGGGGACACGAGGCCCGCTCTCCACCGCCTTGAGGGACACGAGGCCCGCTCTCCACCACCTTGGGGGACACGAGGCCCGCTCTCCACCGCCTTGAGGGACACGAGGCCCGCTTTCCACCGCCTTGAGGGACAGGAGTAAGGTTTGTGCCTGGCTAGCAGGTCTGGATTTGAAATTTTAACCCCTGGCTTAATGTTCATGTATGTATGTACTAAGAATAAACCAGATGAATGCTAAAATACTATGATAAGTGATTATGAATATTTGTGTGTGTACATCCGCTGGAGCCAAAAATAACCGAAACCATCAACTTAAAGTACTGTGAAATACAGAATTGCCTTGTTAACATTGAAGGGCCACAAGTCAAGAAATAAGTAATATTAACACAATACTGTACCTACTAATATATAGTAATTAGCAGACATGCAGATATACATACTGTTAAAAAAAAAACAACTAGATGGTTTCTGAACAACGGGTGCTTACTAAAGCCCTTTGTTCCAAGGAATTATGGGATTCATTCGATGAAGGGACAGAACTAAGCATTAATTAAAAATATACAGTATGGGTCCCTTCATATGCAAGGCTTACGAACAAAGCACCAGATGGATGCATATCTGTTGTAGACTTGAGCCCCTTTCAACTACCCTATGTTTTGAGGGTATACACTATATGGAAATGTTATTCTCGGGAAATAATTTATTTCATATGCAGAAAACACAGCCTTAAATCACAATTCTCTAATTCCCTAGAAAGCAGCTTAGTACTTCATGACCTACTTATCTGGGTATTGACTCAAGAGCTCCACTTCTGAAAGCCTTCCCCTGCTGAAATTGAAATATGAATGAAATGGGTGGAATATATTTTCATAGGGCTGACAACAGCCAGTGATCCCTGCTTTCCAAACTAATCAAATGATTTCCTTTTTTATTAGCTTATACTATCTAAAATCATTTGATCTCCAATATATAGAGTTTAATTTAGATTTAGTGGCATGAATAAATATATTTTTAGAACAGGAGAACATAAAACATACTGTATATGGGTACAAAAGACTGTTGTATTATATTAAAATGGTTCACTCAGTTGTGTAAAGCAAAATTTTTCGAAGTATTATTCAGTAGTGTTCATGAAGAAATTTGCAATACTTGACTCTGTAGCAGTAGTATTAGTCCACTTTTGCTATAGATTCATGTACTTGAATGTTATTTAATTGTGCGTTATTAAACCATTATATTAATCTTAACAAAGTTTACATATCATCTTTACCACTTATAGTATGTTTAGGTTACACACAATTTGTTAAGAATCCTGGTTTGTAGGAGGGTACTAATTACTACCATTCACCTATAGACATCAGGCGCTTGTCAGTAAATAGCTTCAATTTTACGGATTAAAAAAAAATATTAGGATACTTAAAGTGGTTGTAAACTTCATACATGAAATATGGACAAAGAATATCCCTCTATAGCAGGGGTCCTCAAACATTTTAAACAGGGGGCCAGTTCACTGTCCTCAGACCGTTGGAGAGCCGGACTATAGTTTAAAAGAAAAAAAACTATGAACAAATGCGGACACAGTACAGTAGATGACCAGAGACTGCGGACATAGTACATGAGATGACCAGAGACTGCGGACATAGTACAGGAGATGACCAGAGACTGCGGACATAGTACAGGAGATGACCAGAGACTGCGGACACAGAACAGGAGATGACCAGAGACTGCAGACACAGTACAGGAGATGACCAGAAACTGCGGACACAGTACAGGAGATGACCAGAGACTGCCGACATAGTACAGGAGATGACCAGAGACTGCGGACATAGTACAGGAGATGACCAGAGACTGCAGACATAGTACAGGAGATGACCACAGACTGCCGACATAGTACAGGAGATGACCAGAGACTGCCGACATAGTACAGGAGATGACCAGAGACTGCCGACATAGTACAGGAGATGACCAGAGACTGCGACATAGTACAGGAGATGACCAGAGACTGCGGACATAGTACATGAGATGACCAGAGACTGCGGACATAGTACAGGAGATGACCAGAGACTGCGGACATAGTACAGGAGATGACCAGAGACTGCGGACACAGTACAGGAGATGACCAGAGACTGCGGACATAGTACAGGAGATGACCAGAGACTGCGGACACAGTACAGGAGATGACCAGAGACTGCGGACATAGTACAGGAGATGACCAGAGACTGCGGACATAGTACAGGAGATGACCAGAGACTGCGGACATAGTACAGGAGATGACCAGAGACTGCGGACATACAACGGCAGCGGGAATACTGGGCTGGCCGCTCCATAACACGCACAGACATTTCCCTCAAGTGTGTCTCATGGAGCGAAATATACGGTAAATGCAGGACACCTTGTTGGGTCAGATCTGTGTACAATGTAAAGAGAGAGAGAGAGAGGGGGGAGAGATAAGGAGGGGAGAGAGAGAGAGGAGGGGAGAGAGAGAGAGGAGGGGGGGAGAGGATAGAGAGGGGATAGAGAGGGGGAGGGAGAGAGAGGGGGGGGGGGAGGGAGGGAGGTGGTGGGAGAGGGGGGGAGAGAGAGAGAGAGGGGGAGGTGGTGAGAGAGAGAGGGGGGAGAGAGAGAGAGAGAGGGGGGAGGAGGGGGAGAGAGAGAGAGGAAGGTGGGAGAGAGAGAGGGGGGGGAGGGAGAGAGGGGGGAAAGAGAGAGGGAGGAGATTGATCATCTATTGCACTTATCAAGGGTCCGTGGCCGTGATACCCGACATGCAGCGATGGAGTCTCCTGTCTTGCTCCCCCTCTTCATGGTCAGCTCTAGGCTCCGCCCTCCAGCCATGACAGTTGCATGCACTGATCAGAGTAGATGGCTGGCTGGCTGCAGAGAGGCCAGGTGAGTGGTGCGGGTTCATAAGCCAAGCCCACCTACCTCTATTCTAGAATTGCTGATCCCACCCTCCTGCCTCCTGCCCGAGCCCTGCCGAGCTCTCCCGACCTGCCAAACCCTAGTCCCTTGCCTTGCGGCAGACACGCCCCCGCCCTGCGGGCCGGATAAATGTCCTCGGCGGGCCGCATGTGGCCCGCGGGCCATAGTTTGAGGACCCCTGCTCTATAGGATATATCTGGATTGTCACAAACCAGAGCACTAAGTGTCATATATGTCAGCTGCCTCATTCCTCTGCTATAAACATGAATCACTTCTGACAAGTTTTCCTGACACCAGGAGAAACGTGGTGATAAGGGAGAACACAGCCTGTGATTGACAGCCTCAGCTCTGTTCCTGTGTGAATGTGGGTATGTCCCTTCCCTCCATTTAGCTCTCAGAGCTCTTCTCACTCTTGCTCTCTTCTCACTCAGGTGTTCTTTTATCATGCAGTGGTAAATGACCGCTGCTCAGTTCTCTGGCATTCTCAGAGGAGACAGTTCTCCTCTGAATGTCTTTTTATGAAGCGGTGTAGATTACTTCTCCAAATGAGGAGAGAAGCGATCTACAAAAGCTTTGAACGCTGGAAAAAGGATGCTGTTACTGTAATCTTGCGAGATTACAGTAAGAGATCAGTCAAACACCATTTACTAAGCAGAGGTAAATTATCGCTGCTTTGTTTGCAGTTCCCCCGATTCTCCACCTCTGGGCTGGAGAATCTGGAAGGAGAACACAGATCTCCAGTGAAGGGCTGACATCGCTCCTTCATATACTGGCCATCTGTGTGCTGAGATGATCAGCGGGGAACATGTTATCCACTGATCATCTCTGTTTCCTAAACCACTAATGATCGGAGATCAGCAACGATCCTTAGGATCACCGCTGATCTCTGTTTCATAAAAGGACACCTATGTGTAACATCAGCTCCCCACCCCCTGCTTTTCAGAGCTGAGAGATCATTTGTAAATTCTGCACTTTGAATAAATGTAGGGGAAAGACAACTGTAGATAAACAGGTACAATGTATGTAGGAGGATTTATTTTATCTCGGTGTGTCACCTGAGGCCAGTCACTTCACTGGGCATATGGAAGGGTTTACAACCACTTTAAATTGAACAAATTCTTGATGTTCTTCAACTGAATCTTACCTGAGAAAGTCAAGAGAGAATATCAGTGGTGGCATACTGAATCATAGTAATGCAGATCAATAAACATAAAAGAGGTGACTGTCACCTCATTGATCCCAGAGCTGAGACCCCCAAATCTAAATCTAGCTATAAATCAATATAATCATGCAAAATCTAAACAAGCTAATACATACAGTGTTGCAGTGCATATAAAATAACTAACTCAAAAAAAGATACAAAAACATTATTATTATTATATAGGATTTATATAGCGCCAACAGTTTGCTCAGCGCTTTACAATATAAAGGGAGACAATACAGCAACAATACAGTTCAATACAAGAGGGATAGGAGGGCCCTGCTCCTTGGAGCTTACAATCTAGGTAGGTATCCATAAAAAATAAAAAGTGTCCATTAATGTTGCTAAATATCAGCAAGTGTAAAACACCCAGCGTCCATCCACTTCATACAGTGAGATCCAGTAGTGCTGTCCCTCCACCTCTGAGCATACCCCACTCACAGGATTACGATGCCTTACTTTATCCAAGAAAGGAAAACAGGTTATCCAAGATGGGAAACTCTTATCTGGGATACCCCTTGCTCAATGTACACATCTTGCAGCAATCTGATTACCAAGCAATAAAAAAAAAAAATATAGTGTAGTAGGTAATGGGCATAGATTTATGGAATAAACAACAATATATATACTCATAAGTGATTTAAAACATAAAGCACTAAAAAATAAGACCGCTGAAAGTTGCAAGCAGGCACCCCGCACCTTTCTTATGTAATCTGACAGCCCACAGGTGGCTCTGTGCCGAACACTGACTGCTGCTCTCAGAATTCTGGGTCACTTCTACCCCATACTGTCGCTCTGCCCCAGCGCGTTTCGTGGCATTTTTTCAGGAGGATCTGAATAAAATAAAGCATTCTTAGTTGCTGTGAATATTGCTTCATATATCACATGAAACAGTGATGATGGAAAAAAATACATTGTATTTATTGGGTGGCTTTTGCAGATCTTTCTCAATGAGTTCTGTATTGGGCCAGTGGGAGGGGGAATAGTGCCCCATCATTTGTGTAAATAAAAGAATAGTGCTCCATCACTGATGTCAAAGAGAGCAATAGTGCCCATTGTTGGTATCAGGGGGGGTAATAGTGCCACACTGATGGCTTCAGTGTGAGGAATTGTGCCCCATCTTTGGTGTTAGTGGGAGGACTAGTACTCCATCACTGGTTTCAGAGAGAGGAATAGTGCCCCATGTTAGTGTCAGAGGAATAGTGCCTCATCATTGATGACAGTAGTAGGAATAATGTTCCCTCATTGGCTTTAGTGTTAGGGAAACAACTTAATCATTGGTGTCAGGGGGATTAGCACTCACAACATTGGTGTATAGTGGTCACTTGCCTTTGAATATCCCACCTCTACTGGCTGAATGATGGCTGAAACCTTGCAGACACCATTGGGCAGGAGATCACAGCAGCAGCTAAGGTAAACTACTGGTTGCTAGAATACACTGTGCCCCAGTACCTGAAACCTGCTGTCATTTTGCATGCTGGGGCACTACTGTTGCTGCATGAATTACTGGGCCTGTGAAGGGCAAGCGGGTGCCAAATTTGTCCAGGGACTTTAGTATGAAAGCCTACTACATTAGGGAATTTCAGAAATGACTTATTTTGTAACACAGTAACAATTACACACTTGAGTTATTTACTAAAGCCAACTTCTGTAAACTGTACACTTTGCAAGGGCAGTTGCTTCAGAGCTTAGTAAATGAGGGGGAGCTCTGCTGAATTCCATCGTCTAATCAGGTGCAAGAAAAGAATGCTGTTTTTCTATTCTTTTCCTTGCATGTAATTGGGTATTTTTTGTGAAGTGAAGCTTTAGCTCATTTACTAAGCTCTGGAGCAACTGCACGTGCAAAGTGCACAGAAAATATCCCTTTAGTAAATCAATCCCAAATGTGTGTTATGCATAACATAGGTAATAGCTGTTTGTGAATAGAGACATTTTTTGGGGGTGGGCGCAGTTTTCTCTATTTATTACCTTATTATGACGTTTTTATCATCATATTCTTCATGTAAGAAAATATCTACCCTTAAGTTGCCATATACATATTAGTTTTGCATGCTTTTCTTGTGAAGTAAATTTTGAATCAATTTTTATTATAGTTAGAATTTTCCTTTGCTCATGTTTCTCTGCATTCCTTAAAAGATTAAATGCCAACAAAACTGTTTAATACACAACACATGCTACAAACAGGGGCGGACTGACCATTTGGAAACTCTGGCACTGCCCGAGGGCCCGGGGTCAGTAGGGGGCCCCATGAGATGCCCCTGGAACCTTTTTCATAGGCTTTTTTGAGTTTGGGCAAGGACACAGGGGCCCCTTGATCCCCTATTGCCCGGGGGCCCCATGAGTTGTAATCAAAAAGTTCTAACCAGTCTTCTTTCCTGACTAAAAGTAATAGATCCATGCTGACCTACAATTTTTTTTTTATTGATACAATTTGATACAAATGCGTGTGGACATCTTTGGTCATACATGGCTTCTCAATTATAGTTGTTTTTTTTTTTTATTTATTCTTTTACAGTGTGTGCAGTTCTTTTGGGAGGAGGAAGCAAAAGATGATGGTGACAGAGGGAGGAATGATTTTAAATGAAGACTTTTATTGAATCCAACCACAAAGTCGAACAGTACAGAGTGATGACTATTATAATCAACGGTCTCATACATCCTGAATCCATAAAATGAACAGCATAACAAAAAACAAAATCCAGGATCCAGAAACACGAGCAATGATAGGCTAGTCAAAGGGTAATGTAAAGCATCAAACGTAGCAACATATGTAGCATATCAACATCGGATATTATCTCAAGAGGAATAAAATATGATGGCTGGATGGGTGCTGATAGGGTAAGAAATGAGAGCTGACATGATGGTGGTGGAGAGGAGGACAATCACTTAAAGTGGAGAAGAAATGGTAGAGTAAGGGGCAGATAATGCATTGGGATGTCATCTTGGGGTATGCAGAACAGCAGGTAAATGTGTGATGAAAGCAGAGGGATGCGGTGAATCGAAGGTGGACATAGTAGGGCTAATAATAGGAGCTTGTAAAAAGGAGTCATTTTTGAAGTCCAGCAGAGGTAAGTGGGATTCTGAGCTGGATTAGAACATAGCAGAGATGGTAGATGAAGAGAAAAGAAATATTTTGTGATAGGGAGCTAATGACATTGTCATTGATACTGAATTTCTGTCAGGAAACTGATGCAGCTAACGCTTATGTACATATTCCAGCATACAGACGCGCTTGGGCCAGTAACCAACATGCACTGACATGTTGGCGCATCTGTGTACACCAAGGTGTATCAGCACGCACATCCATGTGCATTGGCAATCCTGGGAATGGCCTCAAGCTGCTTATTTAAAGGAGGCCCTGATGTGTGTTAATCACTTGATGTTCTTCAGATTCCCTATGATCTGTGTTCCTGTGCTCCTGCCCTTATTGCCTAGCCTCCTGTTGCTCACCTGGCTTTCTCCTTTCCTTGCTCTGTGGATTCTGAATACCAACCTCAGCTCATCTCTGACTACGCTCTGCCTGCTTCCCTGGTTCTGACCTCAGCT